AATTCACCTCTTCAGACCTCCACAACATACCAACATGTCAGCTAAATAGGACACGTCTTTCTTACAAGTTGCTAAATTCAGACGTCTTTATGGAAAAGTTTTTCATGGTTGTTTGAATATGTAAACGTCATGCTGACACACACGCACCGAGTTACGCCTATGTTTAAATTTCTTCAGTATGTCTGGACTTGTCTTGACAAACATGATCAGCAGCAATTGTCTCGCTGTGTAGCTCCCTTTCTCTTTCCCCCACCCTTCCACATTTCTTTTCTTTGTTCCTCACAAAGCAAGTTCAACGTCCACACCCACGAATGCCTGAATAGAGGGAGGACTCTGCGGTGTTGACACAGTCACAGTACCGAATATCTAATTTAAGTAATGCGTTATCAAAACAAAAGACGGCCGTGATTGTCTGGATCCGTCCATAATCATAAGTGATAGCTGAGGGCTTTTCGAGATACATGTTTGCCTCGGTGTGGAAAAAACTGTGCAGCTCCCGTCTGTGTCAACACAGAAATCTGATGCAAATACAAATGCATGCCATGCAAAGATGTGGCAGGAGTAAAAAGGGGTTTCTATGGCAACTAGGCTGTGTTTATCTTCGGTGTGAATCAACGTGGTTTGCCATGTGAAGCTGACCCAGTTACACCCAAGTGAGTGCTAATGCACGCACACACAAGGACTGGAGCTACAACACGCCGAATGCACATGCAATCACACGTGTAGCAACACTTGGACGCTGTGATATTTCTATCGAGAATGAATAAGAAAGCCAGCAAGCACAGCGGATAGAAACAAGTTATTCCAGTTTCCTGCACAGTTTCCTCAACTGTGGCAACTCTCAGCTTCTACCTCACATCTCATTGCTTCTTCCATCTTTGGCCTGATGACCTAAATCTGCTGTGTGCCATCCACAGGCCACCGCTGGACACCATCCTTATCTCACTCTTCTTTCATCCTCTCATTTTCCTCCCATATTCCCTCAGATCCTCGACTCCCTTTCATTTTATTGCAAGACCTCTAACTGCCTCAAATGATCTAATCAGGGAAGAATGATGCTTTTCTAAAGATGACTTCATATTCATGCATGACCAAATCACTGAAACACTGAAGAATCTGTTTTTCTTGTGTAGCTCCTGTGTTGTTTCTGAAGGGTGTTTTTTTTTTTTTGTTTCCACCACCCAGATTCGTGGTGTCTCGCTTTAAGGCCAGCTCAACACATACAACAAACAAATTCTCGCCCCACATTTTTGTTTACTGAGACAAACGCTGCATTTGACAATCAGGCATGGGTGATATGTGGTAATTCAGTTCATATATAACCGCCCAGATGACTCATCGCAGCACAGCCAGCAGAAACAGAGACATCCAGTGTTGGGATTGTGTTATAACATGCTGGGCTTATGTAATACTTGGAGTTTGCACTTTAGCACGCTTATTTCATGATTTTTCAGTCCAGATTGTCCGAAGATTCGTCAAACACATGACAAGTGGCAAGTGAAGTATGCTGTGAGGTTCAGAAATTGCAGATGAACGCGATGATCGTTGTCTGCCATGTCTTCCGTTGACACACATGCGTACAGTAGAGGAGTTTCTGTGGGAGTGGGTTCCCAAAGCCGAATACAGTAACACACTTTCTGGTGGCTCCACGCTGCCCCTCCAAATGTGCAAGTTCCCGATCACAGATTGACAGCCCCCACAAACATTATGCAACGGAGGAATCATTATGTAACCTGTAATCACAACAAAAAAGCTGGGCCAAATCGTTAAAAACTCTGTCCCATTAACTGAGCGATTGGTGATTCATCTGAGCTGATTGGCACCTGCGAAAGTGCAAATTGTTTCGTGGCGTGTGTGCTGGATGCCGACTTTGGAGGATGTTATCACTCAGTCAATGAAATGGAAGACTGTGGAGTGTGTGTTTTTTTTTTTTTTTTCAGTTTCAGGAGGTGTACAGAAAGTCTGCATTGCGTCACAGCAGGGAGCAGAGGAAAAGGGAGAGAAAGGAGACAGGAGGGGGGGTGAACAGGGGCACAGCCAGGGGAGAGAGGGGTGTGTTCTCACTGACCTAGTTACAGCTATGGAAACCCCCGCCTCCCTCACCCACCCGCTCCCTCCCATCCCTCCCTCCCGCCTCGCCACTGACGTGTAAAGGGCACTTTCAAACAGTACCAGACAGACAGAAATGAACGCAGGGAGGCAGGGAGAAGAAGATAGCAAAGGCGGTTAGAGACAGACGTACAGATCAACAGACGGCCTGATGTGAGTCAAGAAAGATGAGCTCGACTGAGACTAGCAGACAAATATATCGCGCCGTGATATATCAGATCCGGGTAGATCTGGGAAATATCTCTGTGAAAACAGGATAAGCCTAAAGGGATTTAAAACAAATTAATGATAACAACAGACCGCATTGGAAATGCTGAACCCCTTCATATCCTGTGCAATATTAGATTTCTGCCTTTGTTTTTCAGAGAATAATATCTTTGAGGCATAAAGAAGCTTTTAATAAAATCTTAAAATTGCTAAGAAATGCAATAACTGCAAAATACAAGCTGTAATTACTAATAAACAGGATCTAATCCAGCATTTCCTGTGCTTTTTAGGGGCTTCTTTTCTCGAAATCTGATTTTTTTTTAGGGCATTGTAAAGTACGATGTGCTGCAAGGATGAAAAAGTAAACACACAGTATTGATTACAAGTATTTCACTTAATTAAGTGACTGCATCGACAGAACCAGGCAGTTTTCTAAAGCTGGCCTTCAGTGTTTTCCTCAGGATGATGGTTTTGTCTCTCTGGCTTCAAATAATCCACATTTCAGTTCAGAGGCCGCAGACAAACGGAGCAGATTACTTCTTTCTTGAAAGCGCACCACAAAACTTTCCTGAAACCAAACAGTTTTACCTAAAATAGACATAACGAGTTAAAGGGCAACTTCATACTTCCAAACCTTTCTGCTCTGTCATCTGTTTTTGTGTCATGTATTCTCATTAGTTCCGTTTGGCTCGTCCAAAAACTTTTCCAGATTACATTTTCAGACACCCCCTCCTTTTTTCTTTTTTCTTTTTTTAAAGCCCTCAGTTGTTCTTGGTTTCTTTCGTCAATCGTTCCCTTCCCTTGCTGAGTGAACTTTCAGCCTCGTTTCTCCTGCTGAAGTCCTCGTCTTTGATGACAAACTGAAGGTTTTTCGTTTGATCCCGACTGTTTCTTCAGTATTTGATGCTCTGTCATTACAGATACTTTTATTCCAGATTGGACCCTGATCACTGTCAAACCAAACACAATAAAGGTTAAGCTCTAAACCCACAACATAAATCAGGAACATTTAAACACTCATGACTTTGACACAGACACAATCACTGTGTGCAGTGTGTTGCTAGGAGCCAGAATGAGGAACACGTTTTCATCTTCTCAACAATTTAGGTTTTTTCTCTTTTTTTCTTTTTCTTTTTCTAACCATGACCTCATCCACCCGAGCTGAAGGCCTGCTTGCTACAAACTAGCATTTCTTTGCCCATCATTGTTTGAACTTGAGTTTTAAAACATGAGCGCGGAGTTGGGCCAAGGCCGAAAGATTATAATGCTGACAATGATCCATCTTGGTCTTATTTAAATCTGGTCAAGGTTCGTGATTATAGTGGACAAACTGTCCCAGTGAATGTTTCATTATCGTTGTTGCCCTTTGCTCCGATAGCAACGTTCTCTGCTCCTGAGTCATTTAAATGTTGCTCGCCATAGACACTCATTAACTCATTAAGTGGACTTATTCTGACACGGGCATTATGCTTAATCATTGTCCAGGATACGTGATATAAAACAGTATCGCTTAGTCATTGCCGAACACACACCCTCACAAACAAGTGAATCAGACCTCTGAACACAAACAATCACATAGTTACTGTAAGACATAGTTGCTGTGACTAAAAAACAAACACAAACACACATTCTACAAAGAGATGAGTTCCTCCATTTCTAATTAAACCCTCATTAACCTCGCCATCATTGTGCAGCGCCTGGTTTGCATGAGTGGCAGCCAGGCTGGCCTCTGTCCAGGCTTCAGCCCATCTGTCTGATTGGATAGAAGACGCTCTTTGATGAAGCCATGTTGACAAAGTAACCCATGAAATAGGTTCGCCTGAGCCACATGAAGGTAGAGAAAGACCTGCAGATGTCTTGATGAGTTTTCAGCCTGTTTCAATTAGCAGCGTCTTACTGAATCCAAAAACCTATTTAGAAAAGTTCTCTCATAAACAGATGTTTAATCCAGAGGTCTGTGGCTGTTTTACTGTCAGCTGCTGACAATCTTTGAAGAAATCATGGGCCGCTTTTGCTCATCAATCAGTGTACGACAATCGCAAAATAATGTTGGGTTGAAACATTTTCCAGATCAGAGCTGACACACTGACACATATTTTGTCATTTTCTGGCCCCTCTTTCAGCCAGCAAAAGAAAACACTGACCCGTTTCTCTTTACAATCTAGCAGGTGATGAGGTTGTACTACTGAATTGTGTATCTTGCACAAGGACGAAAATACGTTGCGCAATTTCCTTTTCTAGCCTGGCCTTGTCAGTGCAACATCTTGAGCACCTGCTTTCATTTCCATCATCGTGTGACCTTTTTTTTTTTTTTTTCTCTTTTTTTGTTCTCCTCGCTGTTAAATTATCGCTTCAATGGCATATTTTGGACGAAAAACTGTAATTAAATGAGCTCTGGCTAAAAATGGCATGCAGGAAACTACATAAGGTCAGTGCAGAAATGCAAACAGTTTTTTAAAATTAATTGTGACCCCCAAGTGCTGCAGAGTCACAGTTTATATTCACAAGTATTTGCGTCAGTTTAGTTTGTCACGTATGTGCACACGTGCGTCAGTTTCCAACATGAAACAGTCTGCTCTCAATTTCACTTGTAAAAGGGAAACTGGTTTTGTGATTTGCTGATGTGCTCAAACACTGTCTGGTTCTGTGCGTATACATGCTTGATGATGCACTTTTAAACCACGCAAACCGACACATGTTCCATAAAGAGAGGAACTGATGCAAATGTAGCAGAACTTTGCATGGTAGCACGTATCTAGAAGACAAAGAAAATCTTGCGTCCTGTCTTATCAGTTAAGCAAGAGTGCAGCTCACTTGGTAAGTTTTGGCTTTATTGGTCACCCTTTATCAGCAACACAAAGTTGAAATGAGTTTCTCTGCCTTTTTCAGGATATGAAAGTTGTTTCTTTGTTACGGTTTCTGTTTTTCACTGTTGTTTTTAACCGACATGTTACTGGCTGATGTCACCTGGCTACAAGTCTAATCTCCCCCTTGGGTATCATAAGGAAAGAGAGACTGAGATGCTTGTGTTGCATGTTTGGAAATGATGAGTTGAAAAGGCCAGACTTTAACGTTTTTTCCTGTTTTCCTGGCAACAACGAAAGGCAATCAAGTAACAAAGCCACAAGCTCTTCAGTTTTTAGGAAAAATCTTTTAGGAAAGGGTTTGCATGATTTGTAAACAGATAAGTTCTTAAAACAATATTCACATGTTCATTGTCTAGCCAAAGTCTAACTTAGCAAAATCCATTAGGTATCTTCCAAAGTTTGACCTTTTTTTTTGTTTTGTTTTGTTCCACTTGCCTCTATGCGTTTCCCAGTCTGGCTGAGCCCCAGTGGAGGGGCAGTAAATCATTTGCTCTAAAAAGATTGTAAGTTTGAAAGATACCTAATTGATTTGTTTCAGCACAGAATGAGGACAGTGAGTTTTATCTCTCTCCTCTAAACGATTGTAGCAGGCCAACATAATACAGATGTGTGACAAATTAAAGGAAAAAACAGAACCCCTACAGAGGTCAGTGGTGCCTCAGATCTAAGAGGTAGTCGGTCAAGCTCATTCACTGAAACTTTAATGTCCAAATTTCACTTAATGCAACTGAGTGCCATCAAGAGCACCATTAGATGATGTAACAGCTGAGTGTAGCAGCAGCCAGCCTGTCGGCCTATCGGCAGCACATATCAAAACAGCAAATCATTTAATTTACTCGACTATTTTTCATCTATTACAAACTGAAATGTTCATACACATACAACTTAGCTACAATTGGGTGGAGATGTAACAGATCAGATTAACGAGACTTCCCAGTAATCGATGTAATCTGGATTTTGACGAAAGCTGACAGGAAGTGAAATCAGCGTCAGCTTTAGACAGCAGCAGGATCAGTATGAGTGTCTCTAAAGCGAGAGAGAGTTGCACGTGTTTACGCACGGGGATTAAAAACGGTAACTTGGTTAAGTGCTTATAATTATAAATTAGCCCTGACATTGAGACAGGATTGGTCGCAGAGTCACAGTTTATCAGCTAAAAGTAAGTACGTGTTGAATGCTGAGCTCCATCACAGCTGGATAGTATTTTGCTGTCAATGTCTGATCTGTTCACTAAAGTCTGAATATTTGAAGATATAAAAATATGTCATATCATGTTTTCCCTTTCACACAAGGCTATTTGACATTGACATTTATTTGCATATAGATGTGTCAGAATACAGCCTCTCTAATCAGTTTAATAACCAGCAAAATGTAGCAGCAGGTACCCTAGAAGCAATGAAAATACATTAAAGTGTCCCAGAATTGGCTGTAGTTAGATAAATTGTCTTCACACAGACTTTTCAAATCTAAAATCATAAATAAACTTTGGATATTTTGACTATGGGTGAACATTGCAGCATCTCCCCAAAATGTTTAAATGTGCACATCATGTTCACTTGTCCTCTTAAAGGTAAAAGGCCACTGCAAAACAATACGAAGTTTTTGTGAGTGATCACCTTCATCGTGCGATGACAGATTTCTATCCTGATGGGAGCAGGATGACAATTCCCCAGTCTTTTAAGTACCAGGGCTCAATGAATGGTTTCATAATTATGAGCAATGATGTGAATCATATGTTGCAGTCACCAGATCTCAACCCAGTTTAACGCTGTGGGAGATTTTAGACCGACATGTCAGACAGCGTTCTACACCTTAAACATCAAACCCCATATGAGTGAGAGACTTGCCAGAATGCACTGAAGCTGTGCTGGCTCTGCATGATGGTCCTTAGATGCTTTATTTGTTGGTTTTTCCTTCAATTTGTCACCCACCTGTATGCTTTAATGCACCCATTAGCATGCACATATTCTTTTAAGACTTAAAAAAAACATTTCAATTAGTAAAGTAAGATTCTCTGAGCTGCATCAATTAAACAGTAACTGTATGATTTTGTGAATCACGATTAACCCTTAATGTGCTCGTGTATTTGGAGTTGCATCTCATTAAGTACACCTTTTTCTATATTAACATACTAATTGTGTTACATTCTACCACAGGGCCACTTCTTCCAGATTAAAGGCAGCATGCTCGTCAACACCACCAATGCAAACTGCGGGAGGGATATCCTCACCAATGCAAGCTACGGGGGGGATATCCTCACCAATGCAAGCTGCCACAGGGATACCCTTCAGGGTGTGGGTTATAGTGCAGTGTTTCTTCTGGGCTTCATTGTCAATGCTGCTGCTCTGTGGGCCTTCATTGCCAGACGGAAAGACTGGACAGACACCCACATCTACATGTTGAACCTAGCTTTAGCTGACTTTGCTCTCGTCCTCTCCCTACCCTTCAGGATCTACGATGCCTTCTTCTGCATGCCCATGAGTCGCTTATGTACTTTCCTCATTGCAACTCATTTCATCAACATGTATGCCAGCATCATGACCACGGCAGCCATCAGTGTCCAGCGCTATCTGGCTATAAGATTCCCATGGAGGGCCAGATCATGGCGGAGGAAGAAAGTGATGGCTTTTGTGGTTTGTTTGGTCTGTTGGATACTTCTAATCACAGTGGCAACTATCTTTCGCAAGGAGAACTACCCCGAAAATCTCTGGATGTGCTACGAACGGTGCAAAGATCATCCACTTGACGGACAGTTTATGGTGCTTCTGGAGGTTCTGGGCTTCCTCCTCCCACTGGTGATGATTGTGTTCTGTTCCTGTCGGGTCATCTGTATTTTGTCAAAGGACAAAAACAAGACAGAGGAAAAGAAAAGCATCGCTGGCATAGTAACAGCAAACATGATTGTGTTTATCGTCTGCTACACACCGATTCATGTCGCCTTTATTGTCAACTACTACACTCCTGTACCTGACAACTGGAAGAATGTACATTTACCTTCACACAAATACTTACTTACGTCTGAATGGATCGCTTCCACAAACTGCTGTTTTGATTCCATCAGCTATTATTTCTTATTGAAACAGTTTTATTCAGGAAGTAAGAGAGCGCCTCAAAGTTTTTCCTCTAAAAGCACAATTTGAATTACATTGGCAGGAAAGGACTCATGCTTCATTCACATCATGTCAGATTTACTGTAATTGCCGGTTTCCCACCTGTGAATAGCTTTCATGTCGACATCCAAGTCGTAATTATGAACCAGAAAGTTGAATTTTTCTGAAAGCTTTGATACATCTGAGTAGCTGCTGAAAATTACGGAACAATAAAACACCTCACTCAGTGTAATTACACTTTGTTCAAATTCCACTCCTGTTTTGTGGCCATTCATAGTGTTTTAATGTGGGCTCTGGTGTGCACGAAATAGATGCATGACATTCATTGAAGAAATTGTTGGTCGATTCATTGAGACAGCTGGAATCTCCTGTAATATATTTTTCCATTATCACCTTCCTTCCCACATGAAATGAATTCGACATAATGAAAAGAGTTGCGTTATGGGAATTGTAAGGAGCAGCTTGATGCATTGTAAGGATTAGAAGCCAGACTACCTCTGCTGCATGCCCATTTTATATGTTAGTTGTGAGTTCTCAAATTTCTTGGGACTGCAATACAAAAACTGTGATGCACTCCTTTGAATTAACAGCATGTTATGGGCTAAATATGCAAATGCATTTCTGGACTTTTTCTTACTTTATTCTGTTGTATGTATAATAATCTACCCTGAACAGCCGCAACATTAAAACCACTGATATGTGAAGTGAAAAATCTTGATCATCTCGTTACAATGCGGTGCTGTGCTGTGAAACCTGGTGCACTCCCAGATGGCAGCGGCCTCTTCAAGGGGAAAATACGTTTTGCCACACTGCAAAAACCGCACAGGAACAGCTTGAGGAACCCAACAAAGAGCCCAAGGGTTGACCCAGCTTCCAAACTCCTCCGATTTTAATCCAAAGCATCTGCCAGAGACTCCGGGGCACCCAGAGGTACATGTCTATGCCCCGGCAGGTCTGTTTTGGCAGCACAAGGGGAACCTTCACAATATTAGGCAGGTGGTTTTAATGTTGTGGCTAATTTAAATGTGTAATGTTTTTATAAAAGTAAATCAGTTATTTTGTGTATATAGATGTTTTTTTTTTGGCATCCTTTACATCTGCTTGGATAAAATCACCATTTGCTGTATTAACTCCTCAGCTGCTTCAGGAATGTCTATGACCATGTGTATTGTGAGATATAAATACCTGCTGTCTAACACACTCAACCTGTTTAACCTTATTGCTCTCTGTTCAAAGCCTACAATACTGTCAAAACAGACTGGAGCTGTTCTCAACGGCGCTCCGCAACTCTCAATAAAACAACAGATTGAGCTTTACAGCACACACACAGCCGATGTCCATTTAATGCAAAGGCAGCCGTGGGAGCGTATGCCTTTCATTCCCTGAGAGTGGAGACTGGGAGGAATGCAGGCCAGTATCCAGCTCCCTCTCGTGGCAAGAAAAGCACATTTAAGCTTGAGAGATTTTCCACTTCCTCTCTGCTCTGACTCTGCCTGCTTTTGAGGCTTCAGTCTGCCAGTCTGATGACAAATACGTCTCATTTACAGAAAATAAACTGCAATAATGACATACACATCGCTCGAGACGGCTAGGAGGCAATCGAGTCGCATTTGTAAGTGTGTGTCGCGCGCATATGAGTGGGCACGTGTGCGACGACGTGCATTTATTTCAATGAGTGCATCCAGAACCACACGCGACAACATTAGCAGTCAATTATATAATGCCATTTAATAGCAGTACTCCAAAGATTGATGGTTATTATATCAGCAGTAGCTTAGCAACTGCAAAAACTCGGCAGGCATCAGTCAAATGAGAAGGCTCAGCTCTGGCTGAGATCAGGCCTGCGACTCTACTCTAATAACAGGAAGGAAACGGCTGAACTCCGCGGTCAGCCAAAGTCACGTAAATACTGTACATACATCTTATTCACAGCATTGTCAATGAAAAATAGCCTCACACTTCAAACACAGTCCTGTCTTAGAAGAGCATGGATGATCCCCCACCCCACCCCGATAACCAAACTGATACACAATACATTCAGGATGATTATTTACACTATTCACAAATGATACAGAACAGCGCTTTTAAAAACAAAACAAAAAGAACAAAACAACAACACATTTTTGTGCTTTTCCTTATTACTGCACAGTATAATGACCGCAAACAAAAAAAAAAAAAGAATGAGTACATTCATTCACTCCGGATGCTGACAAAGTATTTTCAAGCTCCTCCAGTATGGCAGTTGGTCGGCAATGACAGACAGACAATCACTTTGACTACAGAACAAGACAAAAGGTCCATATTCAGGGCAGATATGACATATAATGAGTTCCACAGTGTTCCCTCACTGCACTTCAGTCCATTTGAAGGTTTGCTTATGAACTACTTATGAGTCTTTATTATTACATATCAGCTATTCTGGAATAAACACAGTTCAAGTCATGGTATCGGCGGATACATTAACAGTGTAATCATAAAGGACGTGACAGCGTGTCTATATTCATTCTTACATATTTACAGTAGATGGCATGATGTGTCCAAGTAGTTGATAAACAGACCCTCAAACACTGTTGGCATTCAGCGTCAGAAGCATCCGGACAGACGAATCTTTGAAAAAAAACCAATAATTTCAACAGTACAAGCCAACATCTAAATGAACAAATCAAACATTCAGCATGTAAGGTCAAAGGCATACAAATTACAAGTATACTGCAAGAAGTGAGTTCGTCAACACCACAGTACATGAGAAAGGCTCACCGCTGACTGAAATGATCTTCTTCATGGCACTTTAAAACAAGTTTCTCTCCATTTTTTGCTTCAGTAATCAGGCATCAATAAATCATTCATCACTTGGGTTTTGGCACACCGACGTACAAAGACACTACTTAGCGTCTTGGTGGTTTCATTCTTGGAGCAGGCTGATATGAAACTATTATGAAAACAGGTTTTCATACATTAATAGTCATAATGACGTAATAAATGTTTATTTTTACTCGCAAGCGAACGCCTGCCTATATTTTTATTTTTTTTGGAGTTACTGTTTGTCTTACATTATCATTTTATCTAAATTAAAGTTTACTATTTACATATAAACCATATATTGCTGCTCACTACAGGGTCAGCTCGAACCAGCATTCATTTGTCGACTGAGGAGTGAAAATCAAGTCAGCTATAACAAATTCTCAGCTGTTGTTGATGCGACGTCATATCATCGCATCTGACTTTGCTTTCTTTTTTTTTTTGTTGTTTCTCTCTTCTTTATCTCGTCTCTCTCTTTTATGGCTTCCATCTCCTCTGTTACACACTCAAACCATGTTGTGTTGATCTAAACGCTGACCGGACACTTTGATGGGTTGAATATATAGTTCCATTTGCCTGCTGAGAACATTTCCATTACCCCTATTGGCTCTGAGTTAAGCCAGAGGTTTCCATCATCACCACTGTAACTGTCACTTTGCTCCGTATCACTTTGCTGTGGGACCTTGACCCACTGTGGGCTTGAGGGGGAATTTTTGCCCCAATAAAAGCAGACTACGTTCTGTAATGCAGGACTAATGAATGTGTGTAGGGCAGAAACCCTAAGGTGACAGTGAAGGACAAGGTGTTCATATATTGCAGTGCATTTACTTTATATTCTCTGAAACACCTCCCTTTCTTCACTATCCAGCTTTTTTTTCTCAGTCCAGTGTTGTGGTGCAATCCCACCTGACGTCCTTGTGGAATTATTGGTCATTAAAGAGTACATGAAGTGGAAGGAGGAAACGAACAGAGCGATGGACAGCTGAGATGCCGTCATTACGGGGAGCATGCAGTTGGCAGGAATAGTGCTGACATTTCAGTCCTGCACTCTGCTCTCCAAAGACGTGAGTTATGGTCCCATATCCCTATGAGACAGGTTAGAGGCATTTGGCACACAAGTCATGCTTCTCGTATACACAGAATACTAAATACCCACCTGTACAAATACATGTATGCAAGTGCTGTGTGTGTGTGCAGCAAGGAGAAAGAGAGAAAAGGAAACAGAGAGGAGGATTTTGCTTCACCGCATCCGCTAGATTTCTGTTTAGTCAGTTTTTCGTTTGATGACTCATATCGAGCTTCAGGTACTTTTATGGTGTTCAGAATTTGCAATTTCACTTCAAGCACCCAGTTGGCAATCAGACCAACAGGTAATATAGTGGGGAACAGATGGCTGGCAGTCTTGTTAATGTGATCCGAGAGGGGAAAAAGCACCCCACTGCTGCAGTCGGCTATGACTGGCTCTGCAGCCTCAGTCCACCTGCACAGAGAGGGCAGTCTCTAAGTGCCATGTCCGTCTATGTCTCACCATCCTCTGTGCTCCCCATTCTGCTTTCTCTCTGTCTGTCTTTCCCCTCCATCCTCTCTCCTCCCTCTTCCTGCTGCTGCTGCTGAGAGCAGGAGAGAGAGGCAACTCTGCAATGCAGACACAGCAACAACCTCAGTCCATCTGACCAATTAGTGAGAGCCGGGATATGAGTGGCAGACCCAGCAGCCACTCATAAGGAGAGACTCGTCACAGGGTTGCCTGAGAGACTGACAGCAGATCAGAGGGGCTAAATGACAATGAAATATAGATGTGTGGAAAAGAGAGAAAGGGAAGAGAGACAGAATGAAAAGAAAGGAGAGATCTATGTAAATAAAATCAAGAGCTCTGGACATGGACTGAATTCTGTCCCCTTCATTTGTGGCACAGTCACTGGCCAGTCTGAGTCCTGTCACTGCAGTTCTTCTTACTCATCAGCTGGCTGAGATCCACCAGCTCCCCCAGCTCCCCTCGCTCCAGGGCCCCTCTCAGCAGAGCCCTGCTCAGCCCGGGGGTGTGTTGCTGGGACACGTACGCCTGGCTGCTGGGGGCGGGCATGGAGGGTGGCGGCAGGGGGACGGGGACCATGCCGTGGCTGCTGAGGATGTATCCCTCCGGGGCTGGCCAGCGCAGAGGCAGCGGCTCGCTGTACTCCATGGGGGCGCTGGGTGCTGAGACCACCCTTCGACGCTCAGGCGAGTCCTGGGGGGTCATGGGGTAGACATATTCGCCCGCAGACTTCCTGAGGGGGGCTTTGGGTGTCCCCTTTGCTGCTTTTTCTTGCTTGCTCAGGCAGACGTAATGCTGGCGTGGCGTGTCGTTCCCTCGGCCCTCACCGCCGTGTCTCCCGCCTCCGCCCTGCTGGAAGAGTCTGGTGGTCAGGTAGACGGAGGGGGGCATGCGGCAGGGTGATCCCAGACCTACAGAGCCTCCCCCCAGGTAGGTCTGGCTGGTGTCCCACCCTCCAGAGTTGGAATCGGACAATCTCAGGCCTCTGCGTTTCTGCTGGGGCGTGTGCTCAGGGGTGGGCAGGAAACCGGGGTCGAGCTCTCCTGACTTCACCCAGCCATTGGGCATGACAAACAGGGTCTCCCCGCCTTGAGAGCAGGGGCGCTCCCCGCCTCCCTGCCGTGTCACACTCAACACGGAGCCTCCCATCCCGCCGCCATTGCTCAGCAGGCCTCTTTCGCGGCGCTGGATGGAGGATTGGGAGGTGCTGCCGTGGCGACGGTTGGCGGGCTTGTGGGCCATGATCCAGCACACAGCGAGTCCGGACAGCGCCGCCCCGATGGTGAATGCTGAGACTGCAGACGCCACGAGCAGGTTGAGGGAGACCAAGCTCTCGGGTTCAATCAGCAAACTCTGCTGCAGAATTCCTGAAGATTAAGAGACATAATTATGAAGATGACATTTAGTAGAACAGCAGAGTGGACATCCTCCCTCAATGTCTGTCCACAGGGTGCAGTTTGAAATTATTATTATTATTACATATAGTGCTGTTCTACTACTTTTCCCTTCTCAAGACTTAATGTATCATAATAAATCAATAACTACAATAACACTCATAACTGCTGATCATCATCTTCGGCATTATGAGGATTTTTTTTTCTGTGATAATTATGTTTCAGAGGAACTTCTCTCCAGTTTGGCCTTGAGGCTCGACAAGCTCCAGGTTTCGGAGAGGCCTCCACTTGTCATCGGCACAGCTCAGACCACAGCAGCTGAGTCTCTTTTTCTCCCTTCCTCTCCTCACACTTTCCATCCTGCAGCCTGGTCAGAGAGTCTCTCCTCGCAGCATACCATTACCTCAGTGTTTCCACCCAGCTCTAATCGCTCCCATCTGCAGACACAGCAGCACATGCCTGTCTCTGGCTCGGCCTCTCCTGCGCTTTCACCGCTCGGATTAGAGTCTGTCAGGTCTGCAGCCTGGCATCACCGACTTCTGCCGCTATCAGTTTCTAGGAGTGGAATAAAAGCTAGAAGCCCGGGTATGACGATGGCTTAGAAAGTGCCCCGTATCCTCTTTCTGTTGTCTTTTGGAAATTCAGATCCAGCTAAATGGATCTTTATGACTTTGAAACTGGGCTTCAACAAGCGGAACAGTTCAGAAAGAATCTGCTGGAAAGAAAATTACTTTTTTTCTTTTTTTTGTGGTGGTTTCCACTGACTTCAGAGGGATATTCAAAGAGGGCCTCTGTGGTGCTGCTGCAGTGACATCTGAGCCTCTCCATAGAAGTGACATCAAGTGACATTATGCTCTGCTATTTCCAGCTTGCTTACCAGCTACTCCATTACTCTGCCTCAGATGTTCAGCTTTGAGAAAACAAAACCTCACATGCAGGAGGGTGGTGCATTTTCCTATCCTGCAGTGTTGTCCCGTCTACACGCACATGCACCTCTTTCACATCCTCCCTAATTAAAATGTCTCACACTGGGAGCATTTCGACCTGTAGGAAGTGAAACCAAAATCCCAGCGCTCCTCCCACCTGACTCAGCTCTGACGAAGGCACCGAAACACTCAGGTGCTGATATTGAAGGTGAATGGATGTTGCTGAGCCGGACGGAAAATCATGCAGTACTAAAAATATACTAAATTACAGAAAATTTTAGCAAATATTCTCTCACTTGGTAGTGTAAGACTTTTTGTTTCCCCAGAACAAAATGTTCAAGTGACAAGCAGACAAGTGTAATGCAGGATTCGGCCACTAGGCGGCGCCTGCTTTCAGTCCACTGTACACAGCCAGAAGCATCCATGTCATAGTGCTGCAACCTACCATCACAGTCTCCTAGATGGGAGGTGGTGTTTCCATATTCCACATCTTGTTGAAACGGGAGCCTGCAGCCACAGAGAGATCACACATCAGCACATCACAAGCTAACGTTTTTCTTTAACGCCACACAGTAGGAAACATGTGGCCTCCCTACATCACTACATACAGTTACACTCACGGAAGCACGTAATCAATAATGACCGGAGGAATGACTGCAGCCTATAATAACAGAAGAAATGAAGTCTTAGCTAACTGTAAATATCTAATCATTGTAAAAACTGACCTTTCATATGAACATGCTCCCTTTTGTATGGAAAGCTGAACATGAGCGATGATGTATTAATTGCTAAAACTGGTATGGCACATATTGATGACCATCCATTGTAATGGGATACACTATTGATCCCATTATTGATTTTCTCTCTGTGCTTTGTAACCCTCAGGGAGGTCAAAGGTGGGGGTTAGACACACAGGTGGCAATGGGAGCTGGAAGTAGGAGCTGCGATACTTGGTTCAAGGTTTACTTTTCATGCTACATTAGTATTTGATGGAGCAATTATCAATATCAATGCTGAGTACTAGTTGTAGGAAAACACATCTGTCAACAGTAATGGTAGCAATCTGTTTGAAATAATTTGGTAAAGGTCTTCATTCAGTGCGTAAATCACATCACAAATGGCGAACATGAAAACACTTAACTGGCTTAAAAAGTCTAATAAATAAACACTTATGAAATAAACCATTTTTTAAATGCATTATTTAACTTTGTGAAACCCCAAACCCCTCGCAGATGTGAAAGGCATGTTATCTTTTTAAAAAATAGCCAGAATTACACCATTTATCAGAGTCTGAAACGGGGAAAATTGAAAAAAAATTTGAATTTTTAACTTTGCAACATCCTTGAACTACTCATCTGTGATGTGTGGTACCACTGGGAAAATTAATCAAAGCTCAGCCTAAAATTGTGATATTTCGTCAAAATGACTCCTGTTCTCTAAAAAAATAAACTTTGCACTAAACAGATCGCATGAAAAATAAAAAACAAATCACAACCATGAAGCTATTAGTAACTCAGCTGCAACCAACAGTCATGTGACAACAACTCAGGGACTTTTTGGTTGAACTGCCAATAGGACACAAATATGGAAAGAAATTTAAAATGTAGGTCGTAAAACATTTGCAGTATCTGGGTCATCGTTTATTTCCAGTAATGGTAACTTCTTGGAGAATGTTGCTTATGTTGATTTCAGTTGTTTTACAATTTTTGTCAAATATAGTAAGCAATGAAAGAAATTCCACTTAAAATCACACAGAGGAGATCTCTGACTTCTGTCTATTTCTATCCCTGGTTGTGTTGTTTTCATAGAGGTACAGGACTTTATACTGGAGTGAAAAATGATCTCAACTGTTGGTGGTCAGAGAGTTAAACTTCTCAACAGAAATAACCAATGAACATGTAGACGGGAAATTACAGCGACCTCACTGGTTTCCCACACATCCTGAATTTGCTCATTGCAATGTTTGAGCTGCAGAATTGTATTATACAACTTTAGGAGCCTCGAAAAGAGATTAGGCATGTGGTCTAATAGTTGTAAATATGATGTGAGCAGTGGGTTCTGTGCTCAGGTATACTTCAGATGGTGGATCGTCAATATTAAATCATCAAACAGTTATAAATGGTGTTTTTAAGTACCTATAGAATATTTGTCACGCCTTCTGTCTTGGTCTTTTTTGTGGCCTGTGTGTTGTATTGTTTAAACAACATTCAGGCCTAAAAAAAAAAAATCTCTGAACATAACTTGCTCTGACTTTGCAGTTAACACATCTGGGGAGGTGGTGAACAGCTCACAGTGAGGTGCGTATGTTTGTTGTCCTCACCGTGTGCCTGGTCTCAGGAAGGAGCAGGTGCTGCCTCTCGTCCAGCCACAGTACGGATCCCTGGAGGCCAGACAGCTCCTGCACGCACACATTCAAAAGGAAACAGTAAGTAAAGAAATGCAGAACACTCTTTTTTTTTTCTTTTCTCCTCCCCTCACAATTACCATTTGGGACATTTTGCGGGAAACCCTCAATGAGAAACAAGGGAGGCAATAGAGGAAACAAGAAGTACAGCTCTAAAATTAGCAGATCCAAGCTGCTTTACTGCCCTGCTGGCTCAGAGGGAACCTGGTAAGGTATTGTAGCTTATTAAAACACCAAAATATGAAATGTGTCCCCACTGATCTTTAGCTAAGATATGTTTTAAAATATACGCAGGAACACATATTGCATGTTGACTTGTTCACAACCTCTAAGTGTGATATATATATCCGCTGTGGTAATCAGGCTCGCAGCACAGTGTTCCACTACAAAACTGCTTCCTCGTACGGACAGTAATAAACAAATGCCTTCTTGGTATTCATAATGAATCACCATCCTGAAGCCTCTCGCATCAACAAGTTAAACATTATTTCCCAGGGAAACAAATTCTCTCAAAATAAATATTAGACCAAACAAGTTTGCTGTGATTTGACAAACACACATGCCATCTATCCCCCGCTGACTGAAACAAAAACAGAATAGCAATTTTTATCGGGATGACTACAGCGACAGGGAGCGAGAAAGCAGACGCAAAACAAAAGTTGGCCAGTAAGTGCAACGTTGGCTAACGGCCACTGCTACTATTTAAAATGGCCCTAATTATCAACCAAACAAATAATGAGGGAATGGAAAATGCTCTCAGAGACAAAAAAAAAAACAAAAACCCAACAACTGTTTGTCACTCACTTCATGCAGCGCGAGTGAAGGTGGCAGCGAGATGTGGGGACTCGGACCAGACAGGAGGGGAAGGCCAGCAGCAGAGTGTGGCTGCTGCGATCCAGTGACAGAGACAAGAGCTGACGAGCCTGAGGAGAGTCCTCGCCACACCTGCGGACAGACAAGAGTGACGACAGGAGGCAGGAGGTGAGGAGCCGCGAGAGAGGAGGTCACTGTAGTCTGTTTGGCCTCAGATTATTCTGTGACAGGGTCAAAGGCCCCATCTGTCGGTACTTCAAACACCGAGCCCCTCGATAAAAATGGTCACAATATCAGGGGATCGGAGTCTGAGCGGAAAGAAATAAAGTCTGTCTTGAGTTTGCTGCCAGGGAATTCATCTTTATTTTCATTTTACTGTAGCACACAGAGCAGCACGAGACGATAGTTAAATCTAAGTAAGATTTTCTACAATAAGGTTGACATCAAAACAGGACAAGTACATGTAAAGAGTTCATTTGCAAAAACAGAAAACTCCATCTACACAAACCTTCAGAAAACCCACTTTTCCATCGTCTACCTGAGACAATATCAGTCAAACTTAAGTTATCTCTATTTTTGTCATGCCATTTCTACGGAGTCAAATCCTCTCAACTTCAGTTTAATGGCTATTATCTCAAGCAAACAACCAAAAAAAAATGTTTTCTGAAACTCCACAAAAATGGAGTTATCTGTTTTTTGCAAATGAACTCTTCATTTATAAGTTATGATCAATCCAGCAAGAAAATATGCCAAATAAAGCTGAAATGTTTAGATGATCAATCAATAGGCTGCTTGACAGAAAATTAATTGTTAATGGAGTTGTTGTTTATAGCTACTCTTTTAATGATTTTATTCTCCCATTTTTCAAGCCAAAATGCAAAAAAAAAGTCTTGTTCCAGCTTCTCGTAAGTGCAGATTTGATTGCAAGGGTGCACACGTTCGATCCTCCTCCACCACACTGGCTAAATGGAGTGTAAATAGTTGACAATTCTGTGATATGAGGGAACAGATTTGTTGCTTTTCTTTGTCATGTATGACAAACTATATACATATGTTTGGGCTCTATGCACTGTTGATCTCTCTATCCAGCTGTTTAAACATGTGGTCTTGGTTTTGCAAAATTCTAAAAGCCATTTTTCACTATTCTCTGACACGATTAATTAGTTAACCAAGTACACAAATCTGCACTACAACAAACACATTCTTTTACAAGTTGTAGATCCAGGCAATACAAATAATAAACATAATGTATTTTTTTCTTTAGTTTTGGCTGTTAAATCTTATTTTTTTAAACAGCTGAGTACCACTTAGACTGTGCTCTCTGTGATGTGTAAAAAATTAATGTGGATTATAGCGTAATTGAAGCATATTTACATGCTCACTAACTGCCTGTTTCAACTATATTTTCCCTCACAGCTGCTGTGGGTTGAGCTGTTTTCAGTAATCAGATTAGCCAGGTTCTGACTAGCCATGGGTGGACAGTGAGATTATTAGTTTGTTGCATGAGTGATTGATCCAGTACGCTTCACTGCTCAGACCGAAGCCCAACAGAATTTAATGTGTTCTTTAATTACCGCCGCAGAGGCTCCCGCTGCTCGGCGAATGTTAGATAGTCTCGCTTCAGATATATACCAGTAATAGATATAGCCAAAGAAATCACTGAAGAGGCTTTTACTGTGAGACGCACTTCACAAAATGTAAAAAAAAGAGAGAAAAAAATCTGATATTTAAATAAGTGAAGACAGTTCTTGAGTGGAGTTATCAACTGGAAGCAGGTACAATGGGACTTGATAAACTTGGAGCAATATGCCACAAATTATAATGCAGTGGAGATTAAGGACAAAGATCTCTTGACTCACTTCTCCGGGTTGAATCCCTCCACCTCCTCCAGAAACACGCTGCTGTGAGAGACCGAATCTCCGCTGGGAATCATGAGGAACTTGAGGATGGTCCCTCGAGTGGAGCCCAGGAACAAAACCGTGCGGTTCTTATGTGGTCCGGCTTCTGTGTCCACCACCATGGATGTCAACTGGTACCTAGACAGCAGGACAAGTCGATAAATTAGTTCAGTTAGGTAGATTTCCTATCACTTTTGGATTCCTTTTTGACAAGTATAAAAGCCTCTGTCTGTGTACCGGCCCATAGTCTTGACCACCCAGGGTCGGTGTCCCAACAGTGGAACCGTCTCATCCATTAGTGGGTGGGTCTTCACGAAGTTCAGCACCTCATCTGGCAGCGTGGTAGAGGAGCTAAACCTGGATCCCTGCACTGCACAGCCTCCTGGCCTGCAGGCAGAGAAAGAAGCAGAGACAGGGAAAGTGTTGAAGAAGAGATACAGAGAGAGATAGAAGTCCAGAGAGACAAAGAAGAAAAGAGGCGCCAGAGGCGTTCATTTTCTTCATCCGCTGGAGGCTGTATTAGAAGATTTGCTGAATCGTAGGGAAGCAGCAGGGTGACTGACAGTTGGAGTTGATATGAGTGGAGCAATATGTGAGATAGATGCTCAGAACATCGGCATTGCAGTACTCTGCTCAAGTTCTGCTCGAATTCACAACAATACCTCGGTTTCGGCACTGCTTCGTCCGGGACAGGTGTCCAAATAGACTCTGGGGATTTTTGCTCTTTAAATCGGCCTTCAAAGACATGAGCAAGCTGCTGCATGTCAAACACGCACACAGCCGAGCCAGGGATGCTGCCGGAGATAAGAGGAGAAAACAGTGGTGAGAAAAAAGTAACTATCGCCTTTGTTTCGTGTGCGTGTTGTGTACGTTTTGGTACCTGTTTGGCGGCGTGGAAAAGAGACCCAGGATCACGTCTCGTCCCTGCATGTGGATGATGTTGCTCGTGGCGTGCAGCAGGTTGAAGTAAAAATGCGAGTCTCCGGGGACGGAGCAGTTGAGCCGAGCCTTTAAAAACGTGGTCCACTGTTTCTCGAGGACGCGCTGGGAGCCGCCCAGGTCTGCTTTACACACCCGAGCCACACGGGACACCATTACCTAGAAGAAGGGAAGGGACGATGTAGTAAAGCTAAGGGAGAACGTAAGAAGCAGACAGGAAAGAGAACGAAGGAGAGCACCTTCTCCAGATGATGAAACTCCATGGCCATCTCTCTGAAGAAGAAATAAATGTGAGGCCCCCACTCCATGGCGCTCACAAAGTAGGGCTCTGAAAAACAAAATGAGAAAAACACTGTTAGTGCAGCATCGGCGTGCCTGGGGTCAAAGTAACGCTGCACAGTCCCTGACATGGAGCTGTAATAACAGCTACATCAACACGGGCCGCTGCCGTCCACCAGCCCCGCTCATTAAATATTCATGTCCTGTTTAATTTATCATCATGGACAAGATGATACACATTATTTATCATTTATTCATCCGGCACTGTTCCGGCGTTGACCTGCCCTGACTTGTTTTTCTCTCCATGGAAAACAGGCTGGAGGAAGACTTGTTAAAATCCTGAATCTGGAGAGTCTGACTAACCTCAATACATCACTCTGTCTGAGCGTGCCCCACTTATAATAAATCTGCTGAATGGAGGCCTAATCATGTGTGCTTTTGCTGAATGTAGCTTATTATTTAGCCACCCAAAATTGTCTTATTCACCTGTGAGCCACTTAAGAAAAGACAGTCATAACGGTTTAATTTTCTTTTAGTAAAGTACCGAAGATAATGGTGATGGTTTCTGTTATTTGCTTCCTGATAGTCTATTGAAGGTGTCTGGCTCTGGAGGGTCATTTTTAATGCGTCTGCCTCTAAAAGTACCTCTGAACCATTTGGAGTCGTGCTTGACTGTGCGTAGGGCCGGGCTGTCGCCGAGGCTGCGATAGATCACCGCATCGATGGCCAGGAAGTCTGTCACGGTGCCGGTAAAAAGACCTCCATCTGAAAGAGAAGGGAGAGAGAGAGAGAGAGGGGACGGGAGGAGATTAAGAAGAAGAAGAAGAAGAAAGAGAAGATACAGATGGAGAGATAGCACAAGGTCAGGAAGATTAAAACCAAACAAGCAATGCAGCGAGAGGTCTGACTATAAATCATTTGTAAAGGTAAACACAAGGGCACAGACGTTTAATGTCTGGAACTGAAAACTGAGTCTGATGTCTGCTACAAAGACGCCAGACTTCATGTTCAGAGTGCAAAGTGAAGATGCTACCTGCAAATAAAGCCACGTTGGCATGTCGTGGATCATACGGGCAGCGCGCCATCCCGCTGACAGGCTCTCCCACCATTTCTAGAGTGTCTCTCTGTAACAGGAACAAATATTATAGATGAACCGACTGGCAGATAAACACAGGATGACCATCTGACAGATAGATGGATACTGACAGTGTAGTTGGCACACAGCGGGTTGAAGGCGTTTGTTCCACATACAAACAGGCCGCCGTGCTGGCTGAGCAAAACCTTGATGAAATTACGACACTCTCCCTGTAGGAAAAGAAGAAAAAAAAACAAGAAAGGAAATGATTACAGAAGAGGGAAAAAAAGGTAGAGGGCGATGTGAAAAAGACCGTTCTGAAGCTAAAGCTGCGTTGCCAGTGAAAGCAAACAGACTGTAGTGTGAAGAATGAAGAATGCAGCTTAAAGCAGCCCCAAAGAGGAACTAACACCCTAAACCACACTCCATCTGGAGGAACAATAGGATGGAGACTTTATAATAGTCTTAAAAGAGGAGGCTGCTGATTGAAGTTAAGACTTGATTCCATTGTGACAGCGTTTCACAACACTGTCTGAAGACATAAAGTTAAAAACCAATAAAACGTACCCGTGCGAGTAGATGAGCAATACTTAAGAAAAAAGAAAAAAAGAAATCAATTCATCAGAAATTAACAAATGGAAGTAATTAGAAGAACAGCTTGGAAATTGCTTGACACTCTGTGTAACACTACCACTAGCTTAGCATAAAGACTGCAAGCGCTGTCCAAAGGTAATCAAAAACTGCCAAACAACACCTCTAAGATCACTAATTAGCGCACTATACCTTATTTAATCTTTACAGCAGTTGCCAGGCAACGCGCGGAGACTGGAGAAAGTCAACACTCACCGTAAAGACATGAAAGTGGAATCAATCTTCTCATTTAACTCTTGCTGAGAAAGTACACTAAATACATGTTAAGGTAGAATGCAAAGGTTTTCTTTTCTGGCTTAGAGAAAAAGTTAAAAATCTAAATTTTTATTGTTTTGAATAGCAAAGGCTTACATTTAGCCAGTGGTGCACAAAAAGTTTTCGAGTTGTTCAGCTTGTAAAAATTCTCAAACCCTGAGTTGATCCACACTCTGCTCAGCTTTACAGAACAATGATCAGATAGTGTGACCAGCACACAGTGACCATAAGAGTCCACTTTTAAAATGCAGCTTTATTCAAACGACACGATGCCACAGATGACAAGAGAAAGACGACAACGGGCTGTCGGCATGCTGGATGCTGGTGAGTCAGCCACCGTTTGCCATTTAAGAAATCACTTCAGACGGCTCTGGATGTCCGTTAGCATGATTCTGTCCCCTAAAATGTCCATCAACTTCACCAAGACCTTCGGGACAACTAAAACAGTATCCAGCAAGCAGCATTGACAACCTCATTAACTGTGTGCGTCACAGATTTGCAGCGCTACACAATACAAATGTCTAATAAACACATGCTACTGACTGCTGGTCTATGACCCCACTCTCCATCTGCCCGTTATTATGTCCAATAAAGCGCACACTTTGTTCTGAAATGATGTTGTAGAGATGCCACGTGTTGGAGCAATAAATACGTATTCCACTATGGGTAAAAAAGAATAGATAAAATACTACCTTCTGCATTTATGGTTTTGTTGAGTATAAATGAATCTAATCCCCAAATGTCTACTTTAGTAATTCAGGTGTGTAATGCAGGTATTGTATATTTTGGCTCACAGGTATTTCTTACTAAATGAAATTACACTATTAGTTCCACTTGCTTCCACTTTAAAAAAAAAAAAAAAAAGGTAAAAAGTCGGCTATTAAAAGTAACTCGAACAACGTGATGCTTCACACTCACCTATAGCGCTTATAGGCCTGCATATTATCCAAATCGGCACTATTATGTGCTAGCAGATTTACAGTCAGCTGTTGAATTAAAGTGATTTACCCTGAACATTATAATTGGATCTCCTTATCTGAGCGAGGAGGTTTTGACTAACATGCTGTACGGCACTTGTCTGTCTTGTCCGTCTCTCCACCTTTTCTCAAAGGGCCTGTTTTTCTCACAGTTTTAATTCTTGTTTTTTTTTTTCTTTTCCCTCTTACATCATCTAGCCTTTCATCTGTGTTGTTTGAAACAGCACGTCTTCTCCTTTATGTTACCCCCCCCACCACATCCACACCTCCTTCTCGGTACCTGGTGGCTGCCCTGTCCTCCTTATGTGTTTATTTCTCCATCTTCCTCCACCTACACACATCGCATCCCTACTAGTGCCTCCCTTTCTCAACTGATTTCAATTACTGTTTCCTCCCTGCGGCTGTGTCACCCTCCCTGCTCCGTTTGCTCTATAATGTTTCCTGTTGCCTTTCTGTCTCTTTCCGTGAGTTCCGACCAGATTTCATTTTGCCTGTGGCACTGCCACATTTATACAACACAACTTGTATTTTAGCCGAGCTACCATTCCATCAAATCTTTATTTTTTTGTGTGTGTATCTGATCACTTTGCGTTACACAACATTGTCAACTATCACTACATATTGACTCGTAATCATCCCACTTCATCATTTTTCGCCACAAATGATATATAGCTGTCCTTAAATTTATTCATTAAAGAAGGGAAAAAAACAGTTCAAGTTGAAATTGATAAAAGTAATAATAATTAAAAATGTAATGAAAATCATGACATTGCTTTTGAATTGTGGTTCAACAGAAATATATTTTTAAAAAAAAACAAAAAACATGCAAACAAGAACTAACATTTTGTTGACCAACCGTTTGAGCCAATCACTGCAATCAAGTGTTTTCTGTAACTCTTCATCAGACTTCTGCACCTGTTGACAGGGATTCTGATTTCACTGCTCATCAGTAAAGTGCTCTAATTTGTTCAGGGCAGTTTTTTTTTGTTGTTGTTTGTTTGTTTTTTAAATTATTCTTTCCAACCACAATTCAAAAGCAATGCCTTATTTCACTCAATTATAATTTAGCAAATTTTTATTTATTATTACTTTTTTCAGTTTCTAGTTATTTGAGTGACTATTGTGAATTTTGCCTTTTCTTTAATGGAAGGGGATGAATACATTTGAGGACGACTGTATAGACGAAGGAAGCTGGCACGAGGCAGGTTTTCATAAAAACTGACTTTCAAGCTTCACGGGCACCAGGTAGCGTTTCTCTGAGCCAGCGTGATTAAGTGATGTGCTGATTCTGTATCAACAAGATCAAATTTGTGTAAATACCGTATGCAGGTGCACCCACAGGAAATAAGGTTTCTGTACCAGCTGTTGTGTCCGTCCATGCGTGTGATAGTGTAGATAGCGATGATGCGTGTACGAGTGGATCTCAAAGTCAGCGCGTTGTGAACGAGTACTTTACCTCGTGTTTGCCCTTCATCCGACACACTCGAATATCATTCTTATTGGATTCCCATGTCCTTTTCTGAAACAGATAAACCTCAGTCAGGGCTCACTGTGTGTTGCATGTATGTGAACGTTTCTTGGAGCATGTTTGGTTTTTGTGTGCGGCTGTGCGTTAGTCTCACCTTGCTGTAGAACATCTCATCACCTGCCATGTTATCCAGCTCCACTCTGTACAAGTCATCTCTGCAAAACGCACAACAGTTTACCCCCGATATGATAACAATCTTATCAACAGGATTTTTTCCCATATAAAATAGAAACAATGCTTAAGAAAGGTCTGCTTCAACACGCAACATTTGTTTATGTCTTAATTTTAGAAAGAAGAACTGAGTCATAAAAATGTTTGGCTCCATTAGTCAAACAGAGTGGAAGCAAATGTTGATACAAAAAAAACCAAATCTGAATCTGAATCTTTTAACCATATCAATATGAAATGGTCATGAGTTTTTTGTATTACAAGTTTTTTGAAATTTATGTTAAAATTTGCACATTTGTAATCTATGGAGATATGTGCTTATTTGCAATAAATCTAAACAACGGCTATAGTCTTATTTAATTTTATTGACATATCAAAGGTTTTTCGAGGGGATTTTAGGCATCTCTCTTTATCATTTACTGTCAACAGCCAGAAAAATTAATTTTCACCATGTTTTTAGGGATCAAATATTCTATCAATCCAGCTATGAATGATATCTGAACAAATGCTTCTGCAAAAACCTTCAGGATGTGGAATGTTTGGTGTATGTAAGTGCTGATGAAGTCATGATTTCTGGTTCAGAGCATGAGAAAATACTCATTTGGAGAAAATGGCCTTTAAAGAACTGCAAAATTCTTTTTTTTTTTAATGGAAAAGGCTACTCACTACTTGAAATCACCATCAAACTTCCTCAACAAAATGATTCTTAAGATTTCAAGTTTTTGGACATGTTATGCTTAAATATGCAAAAGAGTTACGCCCTCATTAAATATGCGCTACTTCACATAAATGTCTATTTGTAGTAAAATTAATACCTAAATGTGTATTTTGGATCTCATCTTACTAGTCTAGAAGAAGATATGTTACAGAGGCAAATTCCCAAACATTTCAACGCTGTTTTTTAATTGTAGTGTCTCATTATATGCCCTAAATTCCTAAACAGAAATCTGAACATTTGAAAAAGCCAGGGTCAGATTTTTAGTTTCTCTCTGTGGACTTATTGAAGTCAATGGTTTTTCCTGAGGGGATTTTTAGTTATCTCTTTTTTATCACTCCATAAATCAAAAAATTACTGTCAACAGCCAGAAAAATCAATTTTCACCATGTTTCAAGGAATTGAATGTTCTATAACTCAGGCTATGGAAGATATATGAACAAAGCAAACAAAGCTAGATATATCAACATTTCAAGATTGACCAGCGTATGAAAAAATGTTTATGTTGCTTGAAAAAAATTGTCATCAAAATGCCATTTTTGTTAGACTGCAACCTGTCTGTGTGGGGTTTTTTTTGTATGTGTGTGACGCATACTCTATTTAAATATTCTATTCTGAAACCACATATAGTTAAAACCGTGTTTGAATTGTGAATTGATTCAGTTTAAACGGGGTGGATTATTATTTATTTTGTGGGTCATCTTAACAAGAGGATCAGTTCTGGCAGCTATTTTCTTACCAGTGGTATAATGCAATTCTTATTTTCCATGCACAAGAGCAATGCGAAACAAACAGCTTTCACTTGACATTTAACAACAAGACTGAATACATCATCACTGGAACAAGCTGAAATGTCCTCTGCAGAGTGACAGCAGATGGAAGCAAATGAAAGCAAAAACATATTAATGCGAACACGTCAGTAACACACAGTTGGTGGCGGTTGCTGTTGGTTACCTGGCTCCTATGTAGAGTGTGCGGTTGACTTGGAGGACCGTCTGGATGTGCAGTTCCTGTCTTTGAGCTGAACGATGAGCTCTGCCCAGGAACACTGGGTACCTCCTCACCACTGACACAAAACACACAGACGGACAAAACATACAGGGAGGAATGCTTTGTTAAAAAAAACACACACACAAAAAAATGAAGTGCCTTGCTCAAGGCTTCTCTGATAGCTGAGGACAGAGCGAGCACTTTTTCCATCTATATTCACCCAAAGTGCTCCGGCAGGCCATAAAACAGCTCCTCTAACCTTCACTTTAATAGTGTCTTCACTCATTCTTGATGCTTTTGTTTAGGAAAACAAAGATAATGGGCAGAGACGAATGGTGAAGCAGTTAGAACGCTTAGTTTTTTTGCAGGTGTTAATGAGAAAAACTACGTGTAATCGCTATTGTTATTATTTTATTATATATTTAAAGAAAAGAAAAAAAGTAATTTCCTCCCTCTCTCCGCTACATCTCAGATAAATGAGCGCACAGATGAGGTGAAAAGAGAGAAGGGGGCATGATCAGACTACGAGAAAGTTTCGAAGAGGAGGCCTCCACAGGGAGCCCTCATCATCAGGAGACAGATTGGGAAAATGTCTCACTGTCCTTGACTGCAGGGGAGGGAGGGAGGACGTAGCGATTCATCTCCACCTGTCTCCCCCCCTCTCCTCCCCTTTCTCCCTTCCACCACTCAGCCTTCTCTCTTCTTGTCATCTGTATCACCCCCGTCCAATCCTCAAGATCTATCATCTTTGCTCCCTCGCAGTTTGTTTCTTTCCTCCCTTATACGATCCCTTCTGTCTCACGTTCATTAATTTACAATGCGACCACAGAAAGACGGAGTAAAGTTTCTTTATTTATCTGCACGCCCGGGGAGCTCGAAAGCAGCTCCACACCAAAGCTCTCACCCTTGACCCCCTGATTTCCACATCCACCGCCGGAGCCATTCATCAATGCTGCACACACGCTCGTACGCGCACATGAGCCCCCAACCAGTACACACACACACACACACACACACACACACACACACGGGAAGGGGGAAGGACACATACCCTCTACGGGGACGTAGCTGAGTGGACTGGGTTCCTCTGGGAATGAGCCATCAGCCAGTTGAAGCAGCAGGAGAAGAAATGTGAGGGGAGGAGCCACGGTTGCCATGGCAGCAGCACACATGCACTGTTAACAAAGAGAGAGGGAAGAGAAAAAAAATAATAATTTCATTGCTGCACCGTATATGTCTTTGTGTGGGCAACGGGTGATGAGAGTGCATGTGAGTGTGTGAGTATTGACATTTTGACAGATCTTCTCAGTGCAAAGGAATTGACCAACAGGTATGCATGTGTGTGTGTGTGTGTGTGTGTGTGTGTGTGTGTGTGTGTGTATAGAAGAGGTTAGAAGTGCAGCAGGGTGACTGCTGCCACAAACCTGGATTCAGCAGGGAGCTAATGTGTTTCCATTGTCTGCACTGGAGGTATAATGGGGGACCTATTGTCAGAAATGTCACTCCATTGTCAAACATTTTGAATCGAAGGAGATTCTCGCCGCCATAAAACACACCGAGAGACAAAACACTCACAGGGTTACACCGTCACTTTGGGTGGTAATGCTCCTCTCACTAATTGCGCCTTCTGTGAAGACGTATGAAGGTTTATAACAGGTAATTAGACACAAAAAGGGAAGAGCTGGCGTGTGAGATGAGGGCAGTGACTCGGGTAAGCTGGACAATGTCTCTTTAATGGTGGAAAGTCAAGAAAGCCTTTAAATCATGAGCATAAACAAAGAGGAAAGGCTCTTTAAAAGTTAAGAGGCCACAAAAGGGTCACAGTGTGCGAGAGATAGCAACAAACGCATCTACAAAAATAAGACAAAAGTTTAAAACCAGTGAGCTCACTGCTAATGTCAGTGTGCCAACAAGTTGATGTTAGGGTATAAACTTTCCAATGTTTACCATTTTGGTTTAGCATGTAGGCGTGTTTGCTGATGAGAACTAAAAATAAAAGTACAGCTGTTGCTGATGGGAATGTCAATAGTACTGCAGGGACTTAGGCGGAAACCAAAGTATTAGATCACTCAAACTATTAGGAAAGACTCCGACAGAAATATGGATGAAATACGCCAATCCATCCAATATTTATTAAAACATTTCACTCACATCAAACATGCTAACCTCATGGTGGCACTCGAGGGAAAGTCGGCAGATCGCTAAAATCATTCACCCTCTGGAGACCACGAATGTCTGTTTAAAATTTCATGACAATCAATCCACTAATTATTGAGATGTTCCAGTCTGAACGCCGACATGCAGCCACAACATGCCGGAAAGCACGCAAAAGGGGTCAAACTGTCAAAAAAAAGAAAAGGCCCTCGTGCTATATATCAGAATTTCATGCACCTATTAAGCCAAGACGGTGGAATAATACTGCCGCACATAAGTTACTGCAAGACATAAATCGCGGCAGCCACACCATCAAACACATGTTTGAATGTGGAAGCTTTTTCTATCTCTGCGGCTCACAGCTTGTGTGGCGGTACGAAGCGTCTTTGATGTGAGAATTCTTTGAAAGGGAAGAGGAGATGTGAAGAGAAGGAAAGAAAAGACAAAAAAAAAAAAACAAAACAAGGGGAGCGTAAAGGGCGGAGTACTTCTGGGGGGGGGTTGTCTTGAGCTGCTGAGAGATGCTGGCGAAATCTTGGGAAAAATGCGAAAGTTTGATGGAACACAAATGAAAAGAAAAGGTTATAGAAACTGAAGAAAAGATGCGGCTAATGGCAATGCTGTTCTCATCAACTCCAGCTGAATGCCAGTGCTCAGTGTTTCCCCCAACCCCCCGCTTATTTCCTTTCATCCTCCATCTCTCCACCACCGTCACCCACCTCCTCCCTTCATTTTTCTCTCCATATCGCTCATCTTTTCTGTTTCGAGATAAAAATGAAAAAAAAGAGAAGCTGTTTTCAGCGGTAGAGCACCAGGTAGAGAGGTAGATGTGTTTGTTGCTAAGGTGATGACAACCGCTATTAGAAGCACCCAAATGCACCTCGATGTGACACACACACATATACTCGTACACATAAGCAGAGTCACCTGCGTTGCCAACACTTCAGACCGGGCCCCGAGATTGAGTGACAAGCTGTTTGAAGACATCAGTGAGGCGATGCGGGCTGGAGACTATACTCTGGGGCCACTTCAAATGAAATTCTAGCCCAGAGATTGCAGGTTTGACATCTCTAAGCCTTCTCCTCATCAGCAGCATTGGAGCAGCCCTGAGGGGAGGGGCGGGAGGTTTGTTTCATCTGACTCTCCGCTGGGAGTCCCTAGACTCGAACTGATTGAGTCGGGTTTAGGGTCAGCCTCATTTCATTATGGCCATTTCACGAGCGGAGATCCAAATTTGACGCTTAAACCGAAAATGAAATTTCTGCTGTCTGTGGTGTGCGGACCGTGGGGATGGATGGAAGGAATTAAATGAAGCATGTGTTCCAGTGAGATTAGCTATCGTAAGGACAGGCTTTGCCACATTAAGCCATTGCCACCGTGATGCAGTTTGTGTCGAAAAATTGCACTCCGTCTCCTTGTCATAATTCTGCCAAATCAGAACACACGACCATGATGCACACACACAAAGAGATGCTGCTTTTATCTGCTAAACTTGCCTTAAAAAAATCCTCAAGTTTTAATCTGTGCAAAGTCATCCTGGCTTGTACATGATTGGATGCTTAAGTAGGCGACAACTGGTCTTCTCTTTCTGGTTCTTTAAGGTGTTTCAACTCTCATACAAGTGGCTTTTTCAGTCTATCGCTCCTTCAGGGAACTGAAAACAAAGTCCAGCTCGTCTGTGACCTGGATGACTAAGAATCTACAAAGTCATAAATCAGCATATGTTCAATGTTGACAAGCAGCCAAACAAATAGAGGCTAAAATAATGGAACTCTATTGCACCTTACAGCAATTCTCGTGTCATTAAAACTTCTGTTTACATTACACCTCAAAGGTAACTACTGATATATATCTTTTTGACAGTAATATAGTCCAGAAAGTCTCATCATCAATTTCTGGAATGCTGACACTTTCCTCTATCAGATTAATCCATAGATATCTGTGGTCAACTTCCACACAAAAACTGAAGCAATATTAATTAGCTCATTTCGCTGCATCAAGCTGATCTACGTAATAATTCTGATAAAAACCCCGTAAAGCTTTTCTCTCTCACACAACCTGCACATGCAACATACTAAAACCCTGCAGCCAATCATTGACGAAGCTTCCTCATTAGGGTGCGCATTGATTAAGGTTATTGATCCATAAGATAAACCATCGAATCTGGTCCGAGGCCAACATATTAAAGCTCTGCTGCTGGCCAGTGCCGTGACAAAGGCAGTATTTTTAACGTAAGGGGCTATAAAAAGAGGTTCAGGGCATAGCTTTGACGTTCACTTATCAAGGGTTCTGACTCGTCCCTGCTGAGCCACGAGACAGAAAAGAGAGAGACGAAAGATAAAAGACAGAGATGGTTTTAATAAAAGAGAATAAAAGAGGAAGAGGGATACCGTCCGCTATAGACTCCCAGCTCATCAAGCTATAAAAAACAGCCCGGTGACAGAATGAGTATCAGGAAATCAAGGGATGGAGAGGCGAGCGAGTGGAGAGAAGAAAGCGTGTTATGCTATTTGTGTCAGATCATGTCGGTGTGATAGGATTAAATGGTGTGACACTGACACTGTTATCATGGGATCCACGTAATGATGGCGACAGGCACACGGTGTAATCTAGCCTCATCAGGCAACCCATTAGCAAATCACCTGCTAACACCCACATAATTAGCCAATCAGCAGGTCATCTAAAGGAGTATACACACCTGCTTTCACCTCTTATCTGTTTGTCCATATGTTTTGTGCTCATCAGCCGGGACGGAGCTTCATTTCATAGAGTCTTGTTCACCTGCCACAGCTGCTTGGAATAGCAGGGGACGAGCAGCATGCTGGGAATTTCTATACATCCTCCCCAGTATGTCAACAAGCTATGTGCAAGATATCTATTTAATGATTATCTATTCAATATTTGCTCACTACCCCAGCTTAAAATACCTCAGTGGCCTTTAGTGTATATTGGACACGCTCATATTTGCACAAGGCATCTCTAGTATTAAAGCTGCTGAGCAAGATCAATACTCTCTCATTCCGCTAAACAGAGACAGAATATAGAGCATCGTCTCTGTCCACGCCGAACACGAGGAAACGCTGACACGTAAATACTAAATGTCCGAGCAGACTCACGGCGAACCAAAACCCAACCCTGTGAGAGCACTGTTGTTAAGAGCCTTGACCCGTGCTGCACCCAACTACAGCGCAGCGTTTATTTAATGCTTTGATGTGTGACAGAAATCAGATGAGTAAAATCTGGATCCATCTTTTCGTGGTGTTGAAATTTTGCTCATTGCTGTGTCTGAACTGTGTTTTTCCCTTTTTTTTTTTTTGTGATTCATTGTGTTGAATATGTTGTTTTGATTAGGTCTACAGGCAAAAATCTCTCTCTCTCTCTCTCTCTCTAGCTTTTCCTTCCCTCTGTCTCTCGCTCTCTGTTTGGCTGCTGCAGCCACTCCACTCTGTGCCTTTGTTACCGTAGCAACCAATAGCAAAGCTACGCAGAGATGTTCTATTGCAGTGGATGTAAACGTGAGGAGGGCGGGTCTGCGTTCCTCACATACATGCCTACATATGTGGGAGATAGCAAACACGCAGACACACACACTGATGTATACACACTTCAGCATTAACCCTGATGCTCATACTTTTATATGCATACGTGGACATACATGTGAGGAGGTGGGGGTTCCCGGTCTGGCTGCACGGAGGGGGATGGGGGAGCTGCAAGCATTTTGTCTCCACATTATCCACACACTGGCAATAATGTCACAGATATGAAATCAGTGGGTCAGTAATAGAAAACACAACAATACAGTTTATGCTTCTATGTTAATGTGATTTGGATGTCAAAGATGTATTAATTCTGCTGCATTTAATTGAGTGTGCAAGCTGCATGGTCACTTTCTCTTCAGCATTCTCCCACTGATGAAAAATACAACTTCACTAGACATAAGGTAAGCTCTTAACTTGATTTTTTAGCAAAAAGAAATATACATTAAGTAAAGATTTTTTCCCCCCCTGGTAAATACTTT